TTGAGCACTTAGAAACAGGTGTTAAAACTACTTCTAAGCATGTTTAGGGCTGTAAATATGTACATAATAACCCTTTAAATGTTTCTTGGGTAGTTGAAAATAATTATTAGGTTTTTAAGTGTACTTTTTTTTCACCTGTAAAAATACCATTTTTTAACAGGGCCCCCAGAATATAGGTCCAAACATCTGTTCCTAAGTTGTTCTAAAATTGTCACAGACAGTTATATGCAGTCAGAATATGTTGCTGAGACTGTATTGATGATGCCAATGGCTCCAGATACTAAATTGAAATGGTTTAGAGTATACTTAATAGCAAAAAATCAAAAACTACGGCCCCCAGAATATAGGTATGCAAAAATCGTCCTCAAATACTCCACTTTCATACATTTTGATGATGCCATCTCTTCAGCATATGTTCTTTAACTGTTTCTCATCACTACCCCACATTCCTTAATGCTCGGGGTGACAGAGAAAATGCAGAATCTTGGTCGCTATTTTTTTTTTAAAACCTATATTCTGGGGGCCATATACCCGTGATGAGTAAAATCTTTAATTTTACTTGTTTAAAAGCTTTCATGCACTCATTTAGTAGGGATCTTAACTAAATACTTAAATAAGATTGAAGGAGTGTCCCTAGATATGATTGAGGGGGGCTGTTTTTATCTGTATCAATACAATGTGCACCTCAATGACTGTAAATCAGACATTTTTGGCCGCCAAATTTTTTTAAAGGCCTAACTCAAAATTCTGTCCCAAAACTTAAGGTCATGAGACAATTCTACGTTGATTCTGAAAATTTCATGTGAAAATATTGAAACCCTATTGAGTTCTATTGTTTTGAGCGAAGTCAGTTTGAGATATGGGCGATTTTGTTCATTTTTTGCGATTATTTGAACACAGAATCCACAGTTAGGTAGATATTGAGCTGATAATCATAGAGAATGTGTAATATATGCTTACCTTCCATATAAAGTTGGTTTCATTCAAAAATATTGATATTTGACCAATTTATGGACCAAAATCGATCAAATTTGGTGCGTATGCCCAAATATGGGCATATGGTTTTTGTTTTTATCCCATAACTCGGCCAATTTTTATCCAATTTTGATAAAACTTGATATGTGGGTTCAGGAGACTAGTAGCTACAAGTAGAGCATCCCAAAGCATGGTTTTGGGCATGTTCAGGGTTTTTGACCAACCTATATTCTGGGGGTCGTATAGACCTATATTCTGGGGGCCCGTAAAATTGTGGTGGCCATAACTTTTTTCCAAATTGTCAGTTTGCAGATGTCTCGATGAAAAGATAGCTTAAAATAATACTTATACTCATACCAGTAGTCTTAATGGCATGTGTTGGACAGATTTTTGTCATGACAATTTTTCGCCATATTTACCCCTCTAGAAAATGACAACATCGTTTAAATCTTTCGCTGTCATGACCAAATATACCAAAATACCTCATGTAGGTCCAAAATTTTTATCCAGAAACATAAGTTACATGTTTTACTCCAACCTAGCAGTAACAGATCCCATTAGTATCGCTTATCTTGGTTAGAAATGTATCCACTAACATGACCTATATTTTGGGGGCCACCTATATTCTGGGGCCATATACCCGTACAGCATTAAATTACAATTAATTGACTTAAAAAATGCTTCAGCTGTCCCTAACCTCGAACAGTAGTAGTCCTGAAGTCGTTCCTTTTGGACTGAACAAAAAGGTTGAAGAGGTTGGAGGAAAAAGTGCTCTCCCTTCTGCAACTATTATTTTTAGTAGATATTTTCTTTGCAGCTCGATTACCTTTCGAATCTGATCCTCCATTTTCCGGCTTGTTCAGAGATCCAACCTTATCCTCGGTGGTATCCTTTAAAAAGGTTATATTAAAGACTTAAAGAGGATGACATTAACGACACCAATTGGTGATATTATTAGGAACCCGCAGTAACGGCGTGAGGGTAAACCTTCTCTTACTGCAACCAACAGTTACTGCAACCAACACGTAAACCAACTTCGTTTAACATAAAATGAAGTTAATAGTAATACCATTAATAATAGTATTATTAAATTTCGGCTCACAGTGACAAGGCTGTACTTGGGAGAAACGTTTAGAGGTGTAACTCTGTTCGGCAGGGAAGTAACAGTGCCCCAGAATGAGGGATCTGGAGAAATGTCTGCCTTGGTCTTTACCGAGTTCTTTCTACTCCTCGAGGTACCGTTCACCTAATATAATGTATAAAGACAAATATAATAACAGTGTTTATAAACACTGTTATATAAATATAAAAAATAGTTCGCTTAAAAGTAGCACTCTGTGCCCATCAGTCTGCAGCAATGCTAACCTGAACTAAAATGTAATCCAGCTTCATAACAACTTACTTTACGTTGCATGTCATTGATAATTTGCTGGGAGAACTTCTCATACATCCTGTTTATGGTGTCAGGGTCTGCCTTCATCTCCCTCACAGCCTGATGGATGAACGTCTCCTCCGAGGCTGGTAGTGGAGGGTAAAGCATGTACGGCTTGGTTTGAGCGGCCGGGGAGTGACTGGGGCCTTGGGAGTCCTGAAATGGCTGCTTACCATTACATTTCACAATATTATGTTACTAATACTAGATGACAAATTGTTTTCTCTGATGAATTCATGAGAATCAAATGATTAGTAGGGCAATTGATCAATCGTTTCGTCACATGTCAAACTTCGTCGGAGGTCGTACAAGTGGCTCAAAATTAGTGGATTCGTCAAAATCTCGTAACGACATTGTATATGAATATGATTTACAGATGGTATGAAACGCTGGCATAAGTTTCACATCAAGTTCAATAGTGAAATATAGCATGATTATGATGTTGATTTAGAGATAGCTCGAAACGCTGGCATCAGTATTGCTTGACATCGGCTCCCGAACCAACTGATTTGCTGCACATAATGTTTTCAATAAAAACACACGTGTTGAGGTCTGACCGAACACGTTAAACACGAGTTCCTAACGTTCCGATCAAGACGGGTAATTAGATTGCTCGAGAGAGAGACCCTATGATAGCACTTAACTCCACATATGTTTGTGTTTTGCTGCTTGTCGAGATCCGTATCGCATGCAGTGCTGGTATGAGGGACAATGTTAGAGCTCGACTTGAACTCGATAGGAACCATCACCAGGTCAACAACAAGGGACAGAGGAAGCAGGTACCACCCGAGATGTCGGATAGACCTCAACACTTGAAGTCACTGAACAGACAGAAATCAGACCTTCCTCAGAAAATCAAGAAACTGTCCCCAGTAGGAAAGAGAACCGTGCTGCCTCGGATAGCAAGACGAGCTGAACCTGGTGATCAGGACACCCAACAAGGGTTCAGACAACAGAACAACTTAGCTATTTCCAGACAATCGACAGTGGTGGGAATCAACCGACCAAAAGTACAGGGTCCTTCTGGAGATATGGGAGGGAGGGAAGCAACACTGACTGGGATCACAAGACAACCTATAAGGAGAGAAAAAGGAGCAAGTTGCTCTAACTTTATGATAGACAACGCACAATACGCACAATTCAGCAGGTTTGTTGGCATGTAGGACTAGGAAACTTAACCTCAAACCTGCTTTCTTTCCTAAGTTAACGTCGCAGACATATTAGTATCTTGGCAGTCCTGGCCAAATTATAAACTATCTATTAGTCATTCTTTCAGGACAAGCATTGTGGAGGAGCTCCCGATCAAGACAAAGAAGAAAGGACGTCAAAATAGTATTGAAAATGAGGAGGGACCACCCGTCAAATGCTATGAACCCGGACAACTATTGGAGGAAACAAGATCGAAAATGCGGGAGATCGACCGACGGAACTCAGACTTGAAAGCAAAGAGAGAGTCGATCCATTACAGCATCGAAAAGCAGACTTTAATGGATATTGAGAATGCCACTAGCACTGACTCACCTGAAGAAACAGATCTTCTTCATTTCCTCAAAACAGCTGAACAAGTTTCTTCACCGAGTTCCGTTAGAGATCGCAGGTCTGAGAGCATCAAGCCGGTTCCCAGGAAGAAACTGCCGCCCATCTCACGAAATGCTCACTCTTTCAACGAGTTTGACCACAAGAGACTATCCCGCCAATTCAGCCAGCAATCTGACAAGTCTAGCTCTGGTTCCCAGACCTCCCTCAGAGACGGCTCCAAGAGGAGGTTCTCCAGTGCTAACGGAGATAAGTCCATGTTCACCCTGAAGAGCAAGCCGCACAGAGAGCCTGTTGGGATCGTGTCCCATGTAACAGGAGACCTCTCTGTGAAACTTACCAAGATGAAACCTTTGAGGCTACAGAACAAGGGAGAGTTCGACTTAGAGGAGTACCTAGCACAGATACCTAAATCCGACAAAGGAAGCACGAAACTAAGGCCTCTCTCAACAGACATCAGGATAGACAAATCGGATCAACTACTGAGGAGAACCAAATCTTCCACCCCAGCTATGGTGCTGTGCAGCATAAAGCCGGATATGTCTCAGTATCTGAAGAAACCGAAGAATATTGGTAATCTTCTAGAGTCTAAACCCCCAAGAACTAACTTTAAACGTGCTGTTATGGCGGTCGCGGCAACCAACAGGATCCATCGCTCTTACACAAAGATCTGGAGGATGTGAGATCCGGTAGATAGATTATTATTCAAAACATTGGAAGAGTAAAACTCAGAAATAAAATTCACTATTTAGATATGAACTGTTTGGATATACGATGAAAATTACCTGAATAAAGTCAGAAGATTTCGTTGTCATCTGCTGGACGTTAAAAATCAACAGATATAAAAAACAACCTGCTAATAAAATGGAGAAGGTAGCCTGCCGAATGATTCATCATGAACCTTACTTTTAATATCTGATATTACCACCATTTTTGATTGAGAGACTTAGTCCTGCTTGAAACTCAGTCCCATCGACTGCTTGATACCAACTAATTGCTTACTTTATGATCATTCAAAATATAACGCTAGACAGCTACAGATGGTTGACATAGTTTTAGTCGCCGAGGAGCTGCGTTTCATATTTATATAAAATTGTTTAATGTTTGTGATTTTTAGAAGAGAACAAGACACTTATATATATATCAGCAAAACAGGATTAAGAATTGAACATAAAATTGACAATTTGAAAAAAGATCAAATTTTAGAATTATAGCAACGAAAACTTAATACTAGGAAAACTGTTTGAAAAGTATGAAAATCGTAAAACTCAGCAATTAGAAATGAGATGCCTTGAAAATTGTTTCTAGGAGTTATTAAAATGAGTTCAAAAAGTATCGGATGATCAGTCGTACGACGAACAGCTCGTTACTCTAACCTCAACGCGAACGCCTAGTCCTACGACCTGATGTTACAGGTTTACTCTTGCTCTTGGCAGGAGCAGGAGCTTTCTTCCTTCCCGCTCTTCCTGAGCCTTTAATTGATACCTCAAAATCTTCCGAATCGTCTCCGGTACTCTCGGCACTGTTATGAATGTTGGGTAACTCCAAGTCATCGTCACTCTCCTCGGATGAAGGAGGTGGTTTTCGTTTACTTATACCCCTTGTGGGAGGTCTCTTGGTTCTATTTACAGGTTCAACGTCCTCCTCCCCTTCACTGGAGCTCTCCTTCTTCTTTTTGGCACGACTTCTAGTCTGTTTGGTGGGAGGTGGAGGGGGTTTTATTATCATTTCCTTCATCTGAGAGAGTATCTCGTCAGTCCCCGCACTCCCGTCTCCTCCACCCTTATCATGACAGAACCTTAGCTTTGTCTCGAAATCATTCAGCAGGTCTTCAGATTTAACATTCTTCCTGGCTTTCTCTACGATCACAGTGAAGTTCCCGTAAACTTCTGAGTCTGATAGTTTGTCGTGGTAACAAGCGATGTTGTCCAGAAGTTTTTTAAGACTCTTTTCGCTGTATGAGAGCAGAGACAGGCAGAAGGAGAGATCGTGCCATTGTCTGTCACATCTTGTAGCTCGGAACCTGGTGAATATGGTAGCGTTAGAAATTTAACATATTATCAGCTGAAGATTTAATAATTTTCAAATTAGGTCTTTGGGGTTACGTTAAAAATTTGATCGACTGAGATAGCCTCATGGCAAGCTTACCCAAAGAAAACAAATAAGGCTTTTAAATGTAAAATCTGGGATAACCTATGACAAAGCTTTTCGACGAGGGACTCCGCCTGCTTGTCCTTATCAATAAACTCGAACAAGTATTTCATGATACTCTGGAACTGATCCTTACTCCTTCCCGTCTCGGGATCAGACAGATGGGAGATTATATCCGCCATCACATTGTAGATAGCATTAGACTTCTTGCTGAGCTCCGTGAAGAACATCTTGGTGAGAGAACGGATCTTGGGATCTTCGTCCTCAAGACAGCCAGCTAGCTCTGAGATATTCCCCTTCACTTTCACCATGTCGTTTAGGATGAGATTGGTCAGAACGCGGATTGTTGTGGAGCGGACTTTGACTGATACGTCACTCAAACGAGCATATATTTTACCGGTCCAGTTAACCAGGAGATTGGGGAATCTGAAGAATAAGACGAACATTAAAAAGACATCGGAATATTTTAAAAAAAATCAAAATTGATTTGAATATTTAAAAAGAAATATTTAAAAAAAAATTTGAATATTTAAAAAAAAATCAAAATTGATTTAAATGTTCAACAACTGAAGTCAAATTATCCCATCTCCCCCACTAACCTGATGATAAGATCGTGTAGAAGTATCATGATGTTACACCTCGTCTTCTCATCGCTACTCTTCTCCAGCAGAGTAAAAAGAAGCTGAATATTATCCTCACACAGAGCAGAACTGACCAACATGAACTTGCAGAGAGCGAGCACAGCCGCGTTCTGGATCCGGAGACAGGGGTAGAGTTGGGGTGAGGAGCAGATGTGCTTGAGGAGGGGTGTAAAGCGGGCCAGGTACCCTGGTCCTGTCACTATCTCCCGTTCTAGAACCTACCAGGGATATGAGGTGTTAGTAACGTACCAAGGTAGGTACTTCACACTTCTGAGGTAGTCCGCGAAGTGGAGATTAAAGTGCGCTGAAAAGAGGTTTAAATGAAAAATGTAAACAATTTCTAGTTAACCTGTCTGACATGCTCAGCCTCAGCGTCATCTGCAGTAGCCCCCTGTAGACCCAGTTCGTCCTCAGCAGCATCTACTGCACTGTCATTCAGAGTCTTGTTTCCTCTGTTATTTAGCTTCTTCTCACGTCTACTCTCCTGAAACATCTGTGGTCAAGGGTCTTCTTCTGGTAGCATTGGATGGCAGAGACATTTTGGGAAGATTTATCTTTTAAGAGAAATACTAATAGCGTCGAAATTGTAGGGTACTTTACCTCGATCTGTTGTCGGACAGTAGATCTGTGTTTCAGTTCGTTCAGGACCCTAGTATCAAGATGTACCAGGGTGGAGAGAGCCGTCTGTCCTAGGAGACTTAGCAGACGATACATGTGCAGACCCGCTAGAGGCTGGAGTGTTTGTGACGTTATTGAAAAGTTGAAATGTAATATGTGAGTATGCGGGTAGGGAGGAGTATAGTAATGCTTAAAAAGCTGAAACAATTTGCTTATAAGCACACAAACGTTTGTCTACACAAAACAAGGTACCAACCACACCCCTGATAAGATCAACTAACATTGAAGGCGGGGGTATCATCCTCCATGTTATCCAGCAGATCACCTCCCTTTGCTGGAAATGTCTTGAGAAGCAGCTTGTTGAGTATCTCCGTGATAATAGAGTCCGGTAATTCGCACAGACAAAACAGGGCCTTTACGGCCTCGTTTGAGAACCCTATCCAGTCTACGGCGGGGGTGTCAAATGTTTGCAGGAGTTTATCTGAGATGGTGCTGACCAGACGGTGAGTCTCTTCCAGTCGGGTGAAATCTTGGGCATCCTGCGGGAAAAGGTGAAAATTAAAGGTTTCTATTAACTAATTAAGCACAACAACTAACATTTTGACAAATTATCCGCGAACTTTCCAGGAAGAATGTAGAACTATTATAAAAAGGTGTGGTAAAGTTTCACGAGTGACGGTGCATTACCTGTTTCTTAGCAGGTACGCCCTGTTGAAGCAGAACACATGTGTTCTTAGCCAGCTCTATATCACCAGTGAACCCAGCAGTTATCAGGAGGTTCATGTTCTGGGTCACCAACGTGTGGTCCACACTGTGAAACAAGGGTTAATTTGCTGGCAATGGACTGTTTGACTGTTTGAAAGTTTACTTCAGTTGCGAGTTGGTAACAATTATGCGATGATGTAAAAACGAAGACTAGTAAGAGTGAACCTAACCTTGCCACCATTGAGAGAATCATGGTTGCAGCGTTCAGCTCGTGTGGTTGTACCCCTTCTGTTTTGTCAACCAGAAGATCAAGTAGGACCCTAGATGGTAAGGTAAGTTAACAAAAGAAAGGCGTGATAATATGAAAATTAATAACATAGAGAAACACACCTTCAGATTAACCCCTATTCCCCATTAACTCGGTTCTGGTAACCCTGGTAACCTGGCGATGGTAACTTCAGTAACCCAAGTAACTAACTTGATAGCTCTAGGACTGACGTGCTCCTTCTCGATCAGTAACTTGACCAGCTCTTTCAACGACATCAGTTCCCCAATAGTGCTACCGTAAGTCATGTTCATAAGGTTCTTCGCCACTGCTTCTGGACCAGGCCTGAAGGTTAAAGTTATCTAATAGTAATATGTTGATTTTGTGATATAAGAAAGCTTCACGATTTCCTCAAAGACAAAATAACATACCACTCATACTTAATCTCCTGTCCAGTACTAACTTCTTTCCGGATACAGGTTTGATGTAAAGTCTGATGTAAGCGTTCACTACCGCATCTTTCACATTCCGATCAGGATTGAAGACAAGGACCAGCATCTTCCTGACCCCCAACTCCGCTGCCTTCAGTCCAAACTCAAACGCGGAAACTGCGGGGAACAGTGTAGGTCATAATAATAGTTCAATTTAAGCGTTCAACCCGACAATTAATCAGTAAATTAAATAAATACATCTGATTATTCAGTAAATTTAAAGCATTCTCAGATTTAGTTTAGGGACTGTTTGACTCGTGCTGTTATGAGTATTATTTGACATCGTTTAATATCTGCGTGAGCCAAACCAGGTTGGTTAAACAATAGTGTAATAATTGTCGTAAATATGTAGTGCGTGAATATTCTAATTTAAATTATTCCTAATTGGGGTATGGTTTGGCTGCCGTTTAACTATTTTAACGCCATCGAATCATCGATATTAAAGCGATGCGGGGGTGACTATATTTACCGTCAACATTTCTAATAATAACACCGCTAGGACAAGTTGCCAACTGTCTGCTTGTTTGCACCAACTGTCTAATTAGTTGTTTATCCAGCGGAGGACTGAACAAACATTCCAATCAGATCACACCTGTTTAGGTTGCCATTAATCGGTCCTAGCTATCATCCGTGCTAATTTGGCAGCAGATTTATTCGATTAAAATCTAATTATTGTTGATCGTTTAGTAGCTTTATTCGTTCACCCAGATTGTGTTGAATGAAGCAATGCACCATGAGTTTTGGACAGTGTGTCATTTGTCGAGAGGTTCTAGCGGATGATATGGTGGCAACGCTCTGTGGGCATGTTTTCCATCGCAAGTGTTTGGCAACATGGCTACAGCAATCACGAATCTGTCCTAATTGTCGGTCCTACTGTTCCAGTGACATGTGGATCAGACTATATCCCGAGATAACGCACGCCACGTGTAGCGACTCTACGTGCAATAAAGAGGGCACGTGTAAATCCGGCGCGGTCGTCAAAGCAACAAGGCGCCAGGTCCTGCAACTACAACAACAATGTGCGGCCCTCTCTGACTATATAGACTCGTTAGGATCACACATAGAGCAGTTTCGGCAGAACATAAACAACACTACTCGGATGTTACGGGACATCCACACGATACTGGATGACATGGCGGACCCGCGCAGTCCTACACTGGAGGAGGTCCTGACCCCTGTTGAGAGTGCAGGGGGAGAGGAGAGGAGTAGACAAACTCTCTTTTCTAGAGCTGACTTGTCAGACTTACAGACTGTTGTTCAGTATTTGGAGAATAGGATAACTTTCTATGAGAATTTGTACGGGAAAAAGGACGAAGGGTCTGAGCTGTAGTTTACAATCTTAAACAGTCCATTTTGTGGGACGTGGGTTAATTTATGACTATTTTTGAAGCGATGGGGTTATTTTTATTTGATTTTTGACTATGAATATTCACTTTGATTGAACACAGTATTTAATTGAATAAATTACTTGTGACTTTGCAAATAAATATTTTTAAAAGAACAAGTTCTCACTTAGAAAGTCGATACTCTCCAGAATATCGGAAGCACTCTTGCTGGCGAGCAGCTGAGAAACCAGCACAATAACTCGGTGCATCTGCTCGGTAAACAGCACACAATCCCTCAGGTACTGCACTATCAGGTCCTGCTTTTGTATCGTCTCCAGTTTCTTAGCAGTTTCAGGGTCAAGGTCCGTCTCCATTGCTTCGTCAGTCTGAGCTGAGGGTTCTGACTCCTCTGATTCCTGGGTACCTGCAGCGATGTACTGTGTGAGGGTAGAATAATTGTATTCATTGCTCGTAACTCTCATCACTGATTAACGATTTATTATGTATTTGGAACTGTAATATATTATTCTATTAAAGTAAAAATAAATTCAAACCAAAGTTTGAATCATCAAAGATCATGACCCTACCATAGTAAATCTATTCGGATTCTTACTGGTGGATTGTTGAGGCAGTTCTTCCTTCAACACTTTCAACTTCTCCACCTCTACTTTTAATTTCTCCATCAGATTGTCCAGGGATAGTTTGTCAGAGTAAGGATTGCATCCCAAGTACGTGTTAATAAAAACCAGGGCGTTTTTCCTCACATTGCTACTCTTGTCCTGAATGGACCCGACCACTTTCTCCACTAGGTCCTGTTGTCGGGGGATGGGCACACAGCGCTGTTCTATCAGCTTAGTCAGGATCTGGATTGACTTGCTCCGGACAAATGCGTTTTGGTCGTGTATATGCAGTTCCAACCTACGTGAGTGATTAAATCGAAATAGGCATTTTTCAAAAAGTTATTAATTAAGTAGTTAAGGTTTGTGACAGGAAGAAGTCAACCAATATTAAATCCACACTTCGTTGAAATCACCCCTATATAGTATATTTATAAATCGCCCTTACATTGAGTAGTGAGTACGTGTATAACCAACACCACGAACATGATCTAACTGTCTAGTTAAGAAAGTTTCATTACAAACCTATCGAAGAGAGTCTCTCTAGTATCCTTCTCCTCGTTTGCTTCGCCCGACAGAACACCACCGATTAGATCCCCGATGATAGTCAACACACAGTTCCTCATAGTGTACGAATCTCCGTCCAGATGGGGCATCAGAGAGCTGATAGCACTGAGAACCACTGGTCCACAAGTGGCTCCTACCTCCAACATGAAGTTACAATAGTTGCGGGTAGCGTTTGTATCACGTGCCAGTTCGCCGGGCTCTATCTGCGCTATCTCTCGGATTACTTGGGCAACCACTGTTTTCACGTCGTAGTCACGGACACAGACTAACATTAGGGAGGCGAAGGGTGTGGAGAGGGTATCATGCTGTTGTAGGAGTTGGACTATTTTCATACATGCACCTGGAAGGCATACGGCTGTCATTAATGTTAGTTCATAAGCTTCACAAGGGTAATCATTGTGTCATCGATCTTAATATATAAAAGTAAATTAAACTAGTGTGTCATCTTACCTAGACAGTGATTGTATCGTTTGATGAGGATTCCGAGAACGTGGAAGATAAACTCAAGTGTTTTCTTACACTTCAGCACCTCAGAGTTCTCCAAAAGCTTGTAGCAGCAGCTTGCGACCTGTGATATTCAAAATCTTATCAATTATAGGATCAGTGATGAAATGAATGTCATAATTTACTGAAAATAAATCAATCATCGCTAGGTGTTTAAATTTACTGGCTCGGGAAGTCTCATCCATCTTTGATTGGCGCTAAAATAATTTCGAAAGAAAATACGCTAGCAGTCTAAACTTCAACCCGCAGCACATGAAACACTTCGCGCGTTACGCAAAACATGGAAAACTCGAAGTAATTCAAATGATACGACATGTTGAGTTAAAATTATTCAATTAATCATTAGAGATTATCTTGAATTCGAGATTATCTTCAACAGTACTTAATATCAGATTGAGGCTTATATAAACCTTATTCTAACGCATAACATCTCATTATCACAACTCGAGATGAGTTTTACACAGATAGCTGTATCATGAACCGTTGACGATTAGGTCTTGAGGCTTTAGTTTTAAATCATATTCACGTTAGGAAAAAAATACAGTTTACCCAGTTAATAGCAGCATTTAAAAAAAATAAAATGCGGTCTATAATATTTAAAATCGTCTTTTGATATGGGCTCCCTTTGGCACAAAACATTCGCGTTTGGCAGGATTCGAACCTGCGCGGGCAGAGCCCATTTGATTTCGAGTCAAACGCCTTAACCACTCGGCCACAAACGCCTGTGCAAATTTGCAATTCTTTTAAATTTATACTTCAATACGCGCCCCCGCAAGCTAACATTGACGGGTTTCATGAGGCAAGCTCACAGATTTATAAAAAGTAACAAAGTACGAACCTGCTCAACGAAGGTCTCGTGTACAACAGGGGGATCCCACAGCAGGGCTAGGTTCAAGTCGAGCAGCTGTCGCAAAGCGTGCAGACCTTCCTGTCTTTCTCCACTACCCCAACAAGTACCAATATCTTCTCTGTTTTTCTTTCCTTTCCCTTTCTGAGATAACAGGTATTACTTGAAATTGATTGATTATTTCTTGATGTGTTATTACGTTTTAAAATTAAAAGTTTCAGAAAGAAGACCACAATTTAGATTGTACATTATGCATTAAAAAGTACAAATATCCCAGATCAGACTCTGGGATATTTTTTGATATCTAGTTACCGACAAAATCTCGGTGTCGAAAATTTCGAAAAATTGTTTATACTAAATTTGCCAATAAACTTAAATTGGCTGAAGAAAAATTTCACAAAATAAAAAAAAAGATCTGATGACGATCATTGATCGAAATAATGAGGTATATTCATTATTCGTAATATATATAATAAGTATTTTTTCAGTCTACTCTTTATCAACCATTGTTAAGTTACCAATATCAGTGTCCCCAAATTATGTGATTGAGTCTGAAACAAAATAGATGTATCCAGAATAACTTTATTAATTTCTTTCAACAATCGGGCCTTGTTCCATAATAGGAGTGAAAAAAATTGTGTCAGCTATAACAGATTTTCAGAGGGATGATCCCTTGTATTATATACAGACCTAAACAGGTAAATACATCCTGGTTTTGGACCAAGAGACAAACTAGGAACGATTTGGTCACAGGTCAGATCACCTGTTAACAATGAGACCGACTAATAACATGATCTCTATTTTCCAGCTCTACTACACATCAACACAGTGATTACTACCTTCAACCTGTACTATATATTCTTGGTTCGAGAAACTTCACATTCTAGCACTGTGAAACCCTGAGCCTAAAGACGTTTTAAATATACTTTAGACTTGGACGAAGGGACAAACGAGACACCATTAGGTCACTAGTCAGAACACCCTTTACAGAAAGACCAGCCAATAACTTGAAGTGAGACTCATGTGATGTAAGTAAAACTAGAACTCGTGATCTTACTACCTAACGTAGATAAGAAGGCAGACAAGCCACTGATAGCAGAAGGCAAATGGTATTGGTAAGAACACATAACATTACCCTATCAACTCAGGAAATCAAAATCCCCTGCTTTAAGACTAACAGAATCTTTGCCTTTTGTGTTTACTTGCTCGGGAGCTGAGAACCTAGTCTAACACTAGCACTCAAAAGTTTGTTGTTTTCAGTTTATAGAGTTGTTTCGTGTGATTCTGCTGCACTGTCCAGTCCGAGTACTCCCCCGCCCTCAGCCACAGTGTCCTCTGGTTTTAAAGTGTCCTGTACCTTGATGGCAAGCCTCGAGAACTAATATTTGTTTTTCAGGTGACATCTCTGGTCCAGATAGGTCGCACAATAATAATAGGGGGCCGGGGGGGGGGGGGGGGGGGGGGGGGGTTGCTAAGATGACACGGCAGTCGTGCATAATACCTTGTAAATTTCAAAATATATTAAGTCTGTTAGTAAAATTCCTACTTACAAACGATTGAACGATTCCCATTTCAAAATTGTTTATTTGCTTGTTGGTTGTTCCTTCCGATGGTTACGACATAGACAGAGATTATGCTGCATTGTTGAGATTTTAAGCATGATCAATAACATTAACTTAGAGCAGGGTCTGGTGGAAAGTTTCCTAGTCCTCGTTATAAAGCTTACAAATAGGTACTCTGCCAGTGCTCATGCTCGGAGCAACTCCTACGGGTCCAACTTCCTTAAGTTTGTAGTAATGTAGCAGCTAAGAGATCTCTTCAACAATAACATTAACTTAGAGCTGGTCAGTTGGACATTTTCAAATTCTGGTGGCGGATCTCTTAAACAATAACATTAACTTAGAGCTCCACTATTGGGTGTTGCCAAGCTCGCTCCGGTCCGCAACAACCTGTAAAAAGTCATTGTCCACCGGCTTAAGTTATTAAATTCAATATAATTATATCTAAGACCTGGGTGAGAGCTCGGTTACAGTTCACAGAGACACAGTTTTAGTTTGTTGTTGTAAATCTTCCTGGCATCGGGTGCTACTTTATGAAACAACAGTATAGTACAGGCTTTCTATCTTCTACCGTGAATAGGGTTTTGCCTTAGTTCATGTGATTTCTGTATTGATAACATTAACGATAATATACATTGTATCCTGACAGGTGTAATATAGCATTAAGCATATTAGTCAGTCCATAAAATATTAGCAATTGGGATCTGATTGAGTGATTGCAGTTCAGTGTTCAGCATCCCGATTAAGACTGACATGAAATAACTGCGGTAACAGGTAGGGTGAGAATCCCTGCCACGTTTTTGGTCAGCTTCGCCGGGGCTCATGTCTTTCCTCGAGGGAGCATTAGTGTCTACAGAAAAAATGACAAATCCTAGCGAAGTCCAATCCGAACCACATCTTCCATCATAGGTGGTGCTGGGTCAGATGGTTACTGAACGGATTGGCCTGGAGAAAGGCAAAGTCCTGTTTTCTCAAGTTAACCATAGAGGGGGGTCAGGTGCTGTTCGCTCACGGCTGGTTCTTGGAGCCAACACCCTCAGCCCACAGAAGTGGGAGCACTGTCGGTGGTGGCTCACCCAGATAACGGACATTGTCTCTCCAGTCTCAATTCCAGGCGTTCCCACCCCACTCACTCACTCACTCACACGCCGCCCCCGGGCCGCTCCAGCTAGTGGATATCTAGCAATTAGTTATTTCCCAGCTAGTGGATATCTAGCACTTACTCCTTTTCCAGCTAGTGGATAATTAGCACCCAGAAAAACTCCGGTAAACGGAAGCAACACAAACACACAAACAAAGAAAAGTCACACGCGGCCCAAAATTTCAAATTAAACAAAAAAAAGGGTCTTCACAAAACACAAATTTGCTTGGTAGCTTCGTATTGTCAACATTATACCGCGCGCGTCGCAAAGACGCGCGTAAATAAAAGAAATCATAGATTTGGGCAAGAGATACTAGATGCTCAGGTATGCCCGGTAGGTTCCTGTCTGCTCACTAGAAAGACAGGGGGCAGCCTGTTCTAAAAGAGCGCCCGGGAGATCACCTAGGCATGGGTGGTGCTCTCCCGAGACCGAGCATTATGACAGTTTTCCCTCGGGAAAACGTCGCTCACCAGGCTTTATCCTCCAAAGGGTAAGGAGCACTAGCCCATGCCGAGTGCCCGTACCCTGTGACACCTACAACCGGAGGGACCCCAATAGACGTTAGTCACCAGACGGACGTAGCCTTCCGAAAGGAAGGTAAAGTGGGTGCCCCAACCCAAAAAAAAAAAAACTGCGGTAACAGGAAGTTGCCACTCACCAAACTTCACCTAGTGGAAGAAAGACAAGGTCAAAATATCGAAGGTTACGGGAAATGCCAAAGTTGGTTGTTCCTGGCTGCGATGACACTGGATCATATTAAGATTGCAGCCATCTTCCTGTATCTTCTTTACATTTCCCAAGGTATAGATATATTAAAACTAATACAAACAACACGCTAACGGTGTGTCTTGATGATTATAATAATCGCTGACATAAATATTTCGTTATTATAATTAAATGCAAACCAAATGTTATCTAGAGACACCCTATCTTTTTGTCTTCAGCTGAAATAGAAGTTTTTCTTTCAAAAACACTTTCTCAGCAGCCGAAGACTTTTACAAGAACGTTGCTCGAGAGGGAAACTGCAAGGCAAGTAGATACCTACGGCGGAGGAGGAGGGGATAATAGTCCGGGTTTAGCTATCAACGGTGTAGTTAATAAGTAAGTTTACCAGATATTGAATAATAACTAGATATAGTTACTATACTGGTGGGGATACTAACTAAATTTGCTTCAATGTATGCGAGAGCTATCTCGAGGTTTTGATTGATCAATGCTGATATGATTGCTGAGAGCTGCGCTGTCATGTTGACCCTCATATTGTCACCCCTCACAAAAATATGGTGAGTTTACCAAGGTTATAGAATTATTTTAGGTTATAAGTTTCGGTCTTAACCAATATTTATTTTGTTAGTGTGAACGATTTCAACCATACGAACACGGGAGGAAGCTCAGCATGGTGGATGGTAACACTGGAAAAGGTGTACCTAATATCAAAGATAGTAATCTACAATAGGGTTAACAATAACAGAATAGAAGGAGTAAAAGTTTGGGTGGGAACAAATTTACCAGGAGGGGACTCCAGAGGTGCTACGAATGTTGCAACCCTGAAATATGTGAGCGGGAAACAACCTTACACCATTCCTGACTTGGACATAGAGGGATCAAGCGTTGAACTTCAGGGTGGTCATGGTCATGGTCATATAATCAATCTCTCAGAAGTTGAAGTATACATTTTGAACTATAGCTATAGGTATGTATAATGTAAGTCATAATTCGGAGCGATACTAAACGCGTGGAGCAAAAAGGCCATGTTGTGAGATAAGGTAACGAGGAAAAGGGTAGTCCCAGTAGAGTCTGTACAAGACTCACGACTGTTCCGCATGATGAACATTAGACTAGAATGATATTTACCTTACTTCAGATATCTGCTTCAGTTGCCTCAGAAGAAGGCCGGTGGAGTTGTTCAGTGTCTTTAGTCTTATTTCTATTATAGATGATTCAAGGAGTTATTAAGATTTACCAAGTCGATTAAATTTATGGTGTCGCCTTGTTCATACTTTAATTGATGAGCCATTTCACATTTTTTTCTTAACTAACATAACCTAGCTTTTCAGACAGAAATTATCCCGACCACAAAAAACTCAAGACGTTATCAAAGCTAAGTTATATAATACAAATCTTATTACATTACATACTATAACTTTGGTAAAATTAAAATAACTATATTCAATTGTCTATTCATCGTTATCGATGACATTTCTGTAATTTTCTTATCTTTAATCGTTGTTGAGTATTGGCACGTTTTGTATGTTACCGATCACTTTCTATATTTGTAACTTCTTCGTAGGTTCCAAAAAAAGTACCCTGGGCAAACCCATTTATTTTGTGTCCAGTCCGACAACATAAAATAATCCCCAAGTTTAACAACTAATCTGCCTTTTTCAGGTCCGCCTCCAACGACAAAACATCTACGAACGACCGAAAGGCCTACATTCCTCTCTTGGTTTCAGACTTAGTCCTGACTCAACAGAACACGGTCATTACAAAATTACTAGTGTTGGTTGCGAACCAATGGACATTAAGAAAACTGTTCGGCTGTTGGACACGATTTTTAGAAACTTATTTAACAATGTAGTAACTCTAGATACTAAGAGTCAGACAATTTAAATTTGTTGTACCCTTTAAATTAAAGCGTTAATTGCACTTGATATTTAGCTTTCTGTAGAATAAATTTTTTAACTGACGCATTTATGACCAGTATAATAAATATTTATGACCAGTATAATAAATATTTATGACCCATACAATAAATACATTTATTTACCTTCTGATACCAAATTTTGCTTTTCACTTATTTGACATGACCTACCTAATGCTAGCTGAAATCTAAATACCACTATTTCACGAAAACCGGCAAATATAGCCATGGCCATAATGTCAACAAATACTGATGCCTACACCCCCATCCCCATTCTTGAAAGAAGACAAACCTTTGTAGTGACTATTTGATGAGATGACTTCCCTTCCTCCTCAAAACACTGGTATAACTCAACGAGAATGTAGACCTCCATCTGGGATTAAAATGTGTAGTCAACGTGTCAAATCATCAGGATTGTAAAATCAGGGTCTTTATACGGAACAAGATATTTAGAGCGATGATTTCAAAATAAATAGCCCAAGTTTTGATAAAAGAAAGGAGGCAGACAGTAAATACACTAAAATTCTAATGTAACAACATGAAGATAGCTGATCTAACATATAAATACCTGGAGAGCATTCAAGTGAGCTAGTTTATCTTGGGAATCAAGTCTTTCATTACTGAATATCCTAGCTAGAGTTTCAGTGTGTTGCTCAACCCCTAACACAGCTGTCCTCCACGCCTCCTCTTTAAGTGAGTTGTCCAATGAACTGAATTTCCTGACGAACAAATGTATCATATATATATAATTGATTAAAACTAGGATATTATGTAATATTGTGTGTATTGACTACCGGGCACTTAAAGTTAATCAGTTAATGAGGTGATCAGCCTAACCATTGAGCTGATCATGCAGCTGTTAGCAGGTCACATAATGAGTTAGAGCCTCTGAACACAATGCAGTAATTTCAAACGGCAAAATATGCTCAACATCCTCCATATATATGAGCTCTTTAAGAATTCGAATCAGTGGCCAATGGCAGAAAAATGAATCACACAGATTATGCCTTCTGGAATATTATCAGTAGTCAATAACTACATCTTCTCAAAACTCATTATAATTTATATACTCACAAAATGACACTGAAGAAGGTATCAAAGTGCTGGATACTCCACCACCCCCACCGACTCCTCTTCTTAACTGACTCTCTTGCGCTCTCCAGATTAGTGGAAATGTTGTGCACTGGAACCACTTTAGAAACAGACATCCGCCCAGTCTCAGACACCAGCAGGTCATCTCGGGTGTCTGGGAACACAAACTTCCATGAAATTGTGGAGATGTCCATGTCACCCTTCTATTGAATAGATGTAATTTGTTGTTGGTTTAAAATGTAAAATTGTTAAGTACGAAATTTAGCAGTTTTGAATAACAGTGGCATTGAAGAGTAATTAAAAAGATACAATAGAGAAAACGATAAATTATTTAAAGCTTAATTGAATTTATTATGTTTCATTTCTTATCAGTGGAAACTAGGATAAGGAAAAACTGAACAATTTTAAAGTTTTTTATCAGTGTGAACTGTGAAGTCTCTGGTGAACTTTAATATTTGATATCTGAACTTGAACAGAATAAGGTTTTTCACAGGAATGAGTTCTCCGATGAACTTTAATATCTGATTTGTGGGTAAAAGCAAAAGGACAGGCAGATCACTTGAAGGCTGTTTCACCGAAATGAATTCTATGGTGAACTTTAAGATTCGATTTGCTACCAGAAGAATAAGAACAATCTGAACACTTGAAGGGTTTTTCACCAGAATGATTTCTCTGGTGAATTGTAGGATTTGATTTCTGAAAAGCAGAAAAAGGACAATCTGAACACTTGAAGGGTTTTTCACCAGAATGATTTCTCTGGTGAACTGTAAAATATTATTTATCACCAGTGGAAAAAGGACAATTGGAACATTTGTAAGGCTTTTCCTTTAAATGGTTCATCTGGTGTCTATTAAGATCTCGTTTCCTAAAAGAGGCATATGAGCAACTTGAACAATGAAAAGGTTTCACATCGTTATGAATTCCACGGTGGCCAATGAAATTTAACTTTCGATTAGTAGAATATGAACAATCTGAACAGTTAAACTTTAACAGATTCGATGGCACCTTTTCTTGCTCAATGTAAGCTTTCACGGAGTAGTTAGTCAGTTCTGAGGTTTTTTGATAATTTTCAGAGATTGCTCGCGTAGACTGTGCAAAATGTTGGTCAACATAGGTATTGGGCTTGGAATTATAAATCTTGTTGTAAACAGTAGCCTGCATTTTCGTTGAGTTTCCTATACCTTTATCAGTCTGATTTGTATCAATAAAGTCGCTGCAATGTGCCCTGATATGATTATCAAAATATTCATCATAAAAGTAGTGTCCTGAGCCTTTAGGACAGCGGAAACCTCCTTTCCTATCTCGTGATTCTTCTTCCTCGGTTTTTATTTCTATTTTAATGTGGCTACATTGTTCATCACAGTTGCAGTTCTTCATATAATCAGCTTCTTTCATACAATCTCTACCTTCAGTCATAAGCTAGACTCTGGAAAATTAGAGATGTTAAAGTTTCAATGCAATCGATTAAAAATTAACATCAGCATTCAGCAGAGATTATGCTCATAACTATATATAGATATAGCTTTTGCTAATTGGATTTAAAACAAAATTTATTAGAACAGGAGCACTTCAGCACTTATTCAAGTAATTTCCAGTAAAACACAATTATACTGCAGGATCTAAATAATTTATTCTATATTAGAGCTGATGAGAACATAATTAATACCAAAATATCATACAAAATAGGAATTATTGCTAAAAACCATTTTAAAACATGTGTCTAATATTAAAAACATTCCGAACTAAGTTTACAGTGAGTGTTTATGTCACCCAGGCTGATCAGATATTTCCATATTTTAGTATGTACCTCGATTGTGGTTGTCAGAGCTTATAAAATAGAACATCATGATGAGATGTAGCTGCGTACTCAAATTGGTTTCTAATTCTTCATTGAAGAATAAAAACACTCTCTGAACGGGACTGAGCAAATACATTTACAGAATGCAATTTTGAACTGTTAGTTCAGTCAAAGAATCAATTTTCAAAATGTCGATTATTTCGATTATTATTTTTCATGCGGTTCATGCAGACAAACAGGAAATGAGGTGGTTGAAAGAAACCACATGCACTTATATATACTTCTTTTATTTTTTATTCAAAACTATTCATTTTGTGATCAATTATTGAAAATTAATATATCCAGAGCTCTTGGACCTTCTTTACAACTTTATACAGAATATTATCTTATAATTCAATAATTCTCTGGGTTCCAATTATAGTTCAATCTTCAATGCCACATTGTTATGAAGGGATAAAGAACAAATGATGTCTTGTGTTCATTAGATTTAAGTTTACATGGATTTCCTTTACTTCCCTCGAATGGAGGACGCTCTGAAGTTTGCCTTAGCTTTTTGCTTTTCGGCTTCTTCTCGAATCTTTTTCTGAAAAGCCTCCTTCTTTCGCTTTGAAATAGCCTCACCAGGTAGCACGAATTTGTTCCCTTTCTTGATACCCAATTTGGTGGGTTTCTTGTTTTCTTTTGCAATGCTAGATCCAGGCTTGAAGTACGGGGTTGCTTTAAACGCTGTCTGTTCTTTGAGCTCCTTCAGATGATTTTCTAATAATTTAGCTCTGCTCTGATTAGGATCCGTATATCTCTTATCGAATGAGAATGGCTTCAAATCTACTGCCTTCTTTTCAGTCTTATCAGGTTTCATAGTTGCACCTTTCTTACTGAAGTCAGGCACAGGTTGAGCTTTAAACTCTTTTGGCTTTTCCTCAACAAACTTCCTTTTCTTTCCCTTTGTAAGTTTAGGAGTCACTGCTTTAGTGGATGGTTTATCAGATTTTACTCTTGCTGGGAGACCAGCAGGCTTTTTGACAGCTTTAGGCACTGGTGCAGCCTTGAACTTGTACTTCCTCATGGCATCTACTTCCTCCTTTTCCTTCTCAGCATGAGACTTGTGGTTGACGGGACGTCTTCTTTGACCTCTCATTCGTCGGATGAATTCAGGAGTTTTAGGAACAGTGTGAGCAAGCTTAGGTTTCTGAAAGTGAGGCTTCATGACAACAGCATTTGATGTTTGTTTTACCTTTCCGCTACGCTTGAGGGCTGCCTGTTTCCTTAATTCTAGTGTTCTGTTTGGCTTTGGAAGGATAGGAGCTTGATGCCTGTAAACTCTTGGTTTTATAACAATTTTACCACATGCAACAGTTGAGATGCCTGGCTTAGAAGATTCGGCTATACTCTGTTTTTCATTCGTTGCTTTCTTAATTCGGACTGATCTTCTAGGAGTTGAATGAGAACGGAGAGTTGGACCAAATGATTCATCTGGATCTGAAATAAATGATATTACAATAAACCCCAGTTGTTGTATCTATATCCTGAATATTATTTTCATCATTTTTCAGTCAACTTCGGAAAATCAAAAAGTAAATATATTTCTGATACTATACTTTAATGAGCTGAAATGTAGCTGTGCTTGCTTATTAGATGACAGTCAAGACGATGGTGACGGTTATTTTTTTAATCATAACTCAAGTTTTAGCTGTTTTTAAGGATTTTCCCAATGGTCATCTAGCCTCACCAACAAGTTTAGGAATAAATGGGCATGGGTTTACCCCTCCCTCCCCCTCAGAGAAACTCAGAAAAAAAAGTATGAAAGCAGTTTCCTATATCTATTGGAAAGATCTACTGGAAAGATTACATCTAGCAATTAAATGTGGATTTTGGTAGGGAAGTGAGGACTATTTGTTGGACATTGGACACTTGACAGTTAAATGTTGTAGATTTATTGGTCTAAATGGTTAATAATCGAATAATTTTTTAACATGTGACAATTCATAACTGGATTAAGTAATATTAATTATAATATTGCAAGACTTACCATTTAGTTTGATTCTTTTTCTAGGTTGTATAATGTCACCAACAAGCCCTGAGCAATACTTTTATGTCACAATAATTACAAGTTTTACAAATAGCTAGTCGAAAGAATCAACTTGTATGCTACATAAGAACTTGGGAGATGATACTGAGAAATTAAAGGTCCAAAAGAATCTAATTCACTAACAAACCTTCTTCAAAATCTCTACTTAATCTTCTAGGAGTTCCAGTGCTAACACAAGAGTTGTTGAAGGGGTAGTTCTGTGGGCAATCAATTCCAAGAGTGTTGTCCATTAGGTCTTATTAAGGAAATGGTTAATTTATTCATAATATATTGATGATGATTAAGAACCAAAATTACGCAGTCAAGAAAATATCAAATAAAGAAACAAACTACTCAATAAAAAATGTCATTTACAGTGTATCAGGAACAAAAATTAGCCATAAAAATCATAAAGACAACACAAAAATAAACAAAACACAGAGCACATGTTTAGGCCAGCAACGATCTTAAGAAAACAACAATTTTATTTAGTATCAGTTTTAAAAATAAGCAAAACAATAACTTATTATTCGAAAGTTTCATTTTATTTGTATAAAGAGCCAGGTCAAAAATCACATCAGAACACGATTCAGGTCAGTGTGCCCCACTGACCGTGCTGTGCAGGGGGGGCGCCGTCTTAGGGGGGCGCCAAATCGTTGTTTGAATGTGGGACAATTTCGAAAAACTTAACTAAAATACCAGCAAAACTGCGCGTTTTGGTCTAGATACACACTTTTTTAGAGATTTTACCGGCGTATCCTCTTAAATCACCTAATTTGTTCAATTTTAGGGAGGGGCACCAAAAGAGGAGGGGGCGCTAACAGGGGAGCACCTTTTCGGGGGGGGGGGGGGCGCCAACAGGCAATGTTACGCCACTGATTCAGGTTTGATCTGCTACGAAGCACACTCATAGCACTCAGGGGAATCAGAGGAAGATAAAAAGCCCAGCATCTTGGACTGGATGACGTATCCTTCAATTTCATACCTCAAAGACGAGCTATGAGGTCTCTTAAGTTTGTTTATGTAAATTTTATAAATAATTTATTGTAGCTTTTATATTGTGTAAAATTTTACGGACTAAATGATCCCAGGGGGGACTCCCAACCCACCGCTTCAGCAGGTAGTTGATACATCTTTCACAAGCAAGAGCCACTTTGGTCTACTTGCTGTGAGGTGTCTCAGCTACATGGGTTGGGGGTCCCACCTTTTTTTCATGTGTGGCAAAGAAGCGTTTTATAAATCGTTATTCCACTTGGAAGTTTGATTAGGTTTTTAAAATAGGGTCATGTTTTGATACATTTTTTTAAAATATTGTACTTGATAAATAATTACTGTTGGTGAGGAAATGTATGTTATGTATTTTTTCACATAGTGCGATAAGATTTTGTAAACATGTGTGATGATGTGATCGATAACTACACACCCGTCTTTGCCTCTTGAATGCTTGATTGGATAGATAATTAGGGAGCTTGACTGTCATATCATGTTTATACAGCAATATCAATAGAAAACAGAAAATGAAATAAGCAATCAAATATTCAGTTCCATCTGGTAAAAAACCTACAAATCGATTTCGACTAGGGGTGTGCGACTTAATAATTAATATAAGCCGCTTCAGTTAGATTAGTACAAGTGGAAATACTGAGTCCTTACTGGGCAACGCTCAGCCTGTCATTCCGCCTAATCTCTATTCTGTGTTTTTGAGCATGATAGCGGCCTGAGGTCCCCAGGTAAGGGAGTCCAAGTATCTGTTGAGTATTCTGGATACAGTGGTATTTAAACAAGTTTTGTAGCGTTAGGATTTATAGCATTTTTGCTTTTTTTAATTTGGGATTGTGTGCTCCTTTCCAAAGTGTTAATGGTTTTATTAAAACTAGCAGGAACCCGTATAACCCTAAAATGGTGTCAAGACTCAAGAGACTAAAATAATTATATTATTTATTTAATTCGCGTTTTTGACACCACTTGGGGGTCCAAATTTGGGGCTCTAAAACTTCCATTCCTTGGCCAATTTTTTATTTTTTTCATGCTGATTTGGAGCATGGAGGCCATTAAAACATTTGGCCCAATTTTTTGAGGATTACTCCGGCGCATGCCACTTTCACATAGCAATGTGTTGTATCACGTTGCGACCTCCACGGTCGTTTCACTACTTTATCGTCCTGACGATACAGGGGGAGCATTGACCATTGTTAATGATCTGGCCCGGCGCGCGCTACTTCGTAGCTCTTGCCATCGAGAAGAAAGCGGCGCGCGCTACTTCGAAAAAATTTAGACGAGTAACATCCGTCAAGGGGAGCCGCGCACTTCATGCGCGGCGGGTCGTACAACGTATGACAAGCCATGTGTCTACGCAAACTGCGTGACGCACAATTGTTCATTGTTTCACAAGCCGGTTCGGCGGAGTTGCGCGCTACTGCAAGCGAAAAGGCTTTGGTTAGAGCAACAAGCTACTTTGTTGATTGACGATGTCAATCCGTCGAGATTGTTGCTCTGCTTCGCAACTTTTGGCACCAAAATTAAAATATTTGAAGCACAACATTTTTCGAAAATTTGTTAAAATTTGTCTCGATGAGCTGATTACGATGCCATAATAACTTTGACGGATATTACTCGTCTAAATTTCTTCGAAGTAGCGCGCGCCGCTTTCTTTTCGATGGCAAGTGCTTCGAAGTGCTTCGAAGTAGCTTACTGGGCCGCGCTCAGCCTGTCATTCCGCCAAATCTATTATGTTAATGAACATAATAGCCTGGGGTCCTCAGGTAACGAAGTAGCGCGCGCCGGGCCTGATCATTAACAATGGTCAATAATAACTGAAAATGTGAAAGTTATAGGCCAAAATCCAAAAATGGCAAGATGTGCGCTGAGTTGGACTCGTCAACGCAGTATAGCCATAGCACATAGGAACGAATATTTTACGGGCATCATCCGTTAAATCCCTATGCGCGGCGCTCTGTTCGAGCTTATTGTACTAGACCGGAGTAAGTGAGATGTGAGAGAAGCGAGCAAATGTGAAGAGACTCTGACTAGCAATGTGCAATGAGCAAGCTAGGTAATCAGTAATACTGAACTGCTATTTCATATTTCTATTTTATTTTGCAACACAAAGAGTTGACGGATGTTACTCGTCTAAATTTCTTCGAAGTAGCGCGCGCCGCTTTCTTCTCGAAATGTTGGCCCGACGGCACGAGCTACGAAGTAGCGCGCGGTGGGCCAGATCATTAACAATGGTCAACACAAAGAGAAACATCTTTTGTTTTTGTTTTAAACATTTAATCGTAATTGGTATTTCATATCAACAATAAGCGACTGTTATCGCATCACGCATATTGTCATTGATCAAGCAATCTTAAATAAACACGGATACTCATCTGAAATTATTTTCGCTTCCACTAAATCGCTCGCCCAAATTTAAAAAAGATCTTGTGAAAAGGCCCCAAAGTGTGAAAGTGACTTCATTCGATGTATTGTTCAACGTTGCTCTATCCAGAGCCCTTGCGCTTGCAGTAGCGCGCGCCCGCCTCACGGCCCGCCTCTTGACTTGTGAAACAAGCGCGCCCGAAGTGGCGCGAAAGCACATGGTTAGGTGAATGTTCAACGCTGATTCCGAATAATCTCCTCCCCCCATCACACATGATGTAGGGTAAAAATGCTCATCTTAAAGTTACGGTGTACGAGCAAAATTTGTTTTGGTAATGTGACAACTGTGATACTAATATTAGAAAAACTTGTAGGTTTATAAGTATAACCTACCAGGACGCGCGCCGAGTTGTGAGTTGGACTCGTCGACGGTCCTGATATTTGAAACAAATATTTTACGAGTATCACCCGTTAAAGAAAAACGCAATTCAAATTCGATTGTGTAGGCGCCAGGGTTAGGGTTGTATTTCGCTTTGGGACTGTGGTTAAAGGGTTGTCATACGTTGTAGACCTGCTGCGCACGAGTGCGCAGCTGTATCGTGGCTTTCGCCACGATACACTTAGTGAAACGACAATGGGGGTCACGACGTGATACAAGGTAAGGGTTACGGACTTAGAGTTTATGTAAATCCATTTTGTTTGGCAGCCAAACCGTAAAAACCCAAAGTCACTTGATAATTGTTGGGCGAGCAAAATAATATTAATAAGAGCCAATCACAAATCACTGTACACCACACAACATGGAACTTCAAAATTCGAGATTTTTCTAAAAGGGTCACCCCCTCAGGAAAGTCTGATCAAAGACCCGAAAATGAGCCAAAAAAGAGAAGGGGTCCTTTGGCGTGTTCAAAAGTTCATACGGCCACCTGACCATGATGATTAACAAGACTTTTAGTTGCAGGTAACGGTTGAAGACCTCTCTGTTGTACCACTGTGTTATCTCTGTTTTCACTACTATTATACACTGCACCGCCTACAAAAGGAGGGACTTTTCAATTAACTGTCTCAATCGGTACAATTATAAAAACAATTTTGAGTTTGTAACGTTCTCAATTCTCATGCTACAATAAAATGACTAATAAACAGTCTTAGAATCATCTGAGTGGAAGACTATTTTAAACCACACTGTTATCACAGAAAATCTTACGTCTGTTCCCTCTGTTGAAGTTTGACGTCCAGGTCCGTAACCATCTGTTGGGGTAAATGATCTCCCGCCAGTGTTTCCAACACATAACGTTGCTGATCGAAGTTATCACTACTTGTATATCCAGGGCTAGCTGCTGACTCGACAGTTCCACTCCCAATCTACAGGAAATGGTTATATAAAGTGTGGGTGGACTTATTCCTCATGCTTGAGATAAAAAAAATCGGATCACCATAAGGGGTCGTTCACATATTATTACGTAATCAGCCGAGGGGGGGGGGGGGGGGGGGGAGGGTTCCAAATGATTACGCTAGTATAGTTTTAACACAATAGCTATGTGTAAACAGTAAAACTGATTACGGGGGGGGGGGGGGGGGGGGGGGGGTAAAATTGCCAAAAAATTGATTACGTAATATGTGAACGACCCCATCATAGATCATACCCATACATCAATATATCAAGAGTTCGCCAAATTTTCACAACTTTAAGCTGTAGAATTTTTTGTTTTCTTGAGTTTTCTTAATGATACAAAAACATACATATGTAGCTCACTTTTTTAAAACCACGTATATGGCAATACAGATGACGTCAGCGGCTATCACCACTCCGGTGATGATAGCGAGTTTTTTTATCAGGGCATGATCCAGGTCCTTGATTGACTTGAAGTGAGCTCGGTGTTCCCCACGATTACCCTTCACTTCCATTATGTGTCCTGGTATAATACATATTAGTTCAGTGCCAGTGGACATAATATGACAGTAACAACAATGGCACATAATATCAAGAATTAAATAACTTATTGCGACATATATGTAGATATTTAAAGATATCAATTTGTGAATTATGAGTTTTTCGGTAGCCTACTCACCGGCATTGTTAGCCTGAGTTGCCATGTTTTCTCGGAGTGGTTTCATGAAGAGGTACATTAGGATACAGTGTAGCGCTACTATGCACACCAGTCCCAGTGAGCGGAATATCAAGCTGAAACTGTTTCAAATGTAACACAATTAATCGTTATTGAAATGGCTATCACCCAATCGAACATATTCCACTCGACGTCAATACAAGTACAACATGGTGATTGGTGTCAGGATTGAAATAAGACTAGGGATAGTGGATATAGACTATAGATAAGAGTGGCCAGTCAAGGTGACTAAAAGAGTTTCAATTTTACATTCATCATACTCATTGGTCGTTTTATTTGACTTAGTTGGGGGGGGGGGGGGGGGGGGGTGTTCACTACACTTTTTTACACCTTAAATTACACTTAACCAAATCATCTTCTCAAAATCTTCTTTTTTTCTATTCTATATTCTCCATCAGTCTTCACATAGTACATTTCCAAAGGCAAAACAGGGGTAAAGCATACCTTTGATGAGACAAAAATTTCACTTTTACACACTTTTAAGGCTGTTTTACACTACATTTTTGCCTATTTTAAGTATGGTGTAAAAATTGTAGAGAACCCCCCCCCCTCGCCACTTATTATCACAGAAAGAAATGTCCCAAAATATCTGTTAGCAAGAATATATTCACTCCAGTAGTTGTGTACCACAAACCTGCTTGATTTTCCAGATTTGCAAAACCCGTTCTCTATCTTGTACTCCATGATATCAAGGTTCGGCGTGAAGTAGAGAATTATGAAGAAAACCACGAGACCAGCAAATAAAACTGAAAACAGTTGTGTCAAAATTAATATCATATTTGCATTTAACTTCAAGATTGGCTTGACTTTCAAAGGCGATGGATCATTATTGTTAACTCTAACACCTCATACACTTAATCCTTATTCCCATTAAACAGTTCCACACATAATGATTGCACTAAGTCACAAAATGAAGTTCCCCTACTCACACAGGGCGGGTAAGATAATGTAAGAACTGAGAAAGAGCACGAATTTAGAAGCAGTTCTCTTGATCATGTTGAGTTGGTAGAAAAACCTCTGTCTGGACCACAGTAAGACAGTTACCGGTGTCATACACAGAGGGTACAGGATCACCGATATCTGCATGGGAATTGGGAATGAGTGGGTAAATATCAAAAATCAATCTTGAAACGAAATTAACTTTCTCCTTTAGTACTTTTAGTAGTGGTTGAACATTAAAACAGACTCACCCCACGCCAAGTTTTGCAGGTCTCTTCAGAAGTGCCGGCCACTTTGGAGCCCCACAAGTTAATAACCAGCTGGGTATCAGTCAGGAAGAAGGAGGCCATTACCAGAGCGTACATTGCAGCGTTTCGCTTGTCAACCTTCTTTCCTCTGAGAAGATCAGTCTATGTTAAAAACTGGAACAATCCTGTAAACAGGAGAGACTTCGTCTGCCAATTTATCAGTCAATTTTGGTCCGTTATTATGCAACATCGCTAGAGTCACCGTTACACTACGTATTGAGATTTGAGGGAAAAAAGGCAACGAAACGTAAGACTCGTGAAAACAAACACAAGATAAAACTATAAATAGCACTAATAACCTGAGTCTCCTGCCGAAGAAGAAGATTGCACATTGCACCAGGAGTGTAAAAATGTAAACCATCAGGAGCACCCTGATAGTTAGGAATACTTGCTGCCACATTCTCTAATCTACATCTGAATAATCTGACTGCTTTCTTCTATCCAGGGTATCCACTATCCAATGTACATCCAGAAATCAACTGAAAGTTTTCAGCGTCCACTCCGAAACACAAATATTAGATAAAATGCGGAAAAGACAAACTCTGTATGTGTTACAAGAAAAATTTCCAAAGAAAACTATTCGCGACAAATACAAAGTGGTGGTGTAGATGGTGTCCCAGGATTATCGTCACGTGAAGGGTCAACTCGAGCTACTCAATATACGAATTTGCGACATCGAGATGCCCAATTTCAAAATGTCAAGAATTCAGACAACGGTATCATTGAGTAAAAGTAAATAGTAATAGTTATTGACTATTGTTCAAGGAATAGACGATTACACGGGTCAGATTTCTCAAGAAAAATAGAGGGCAAAAAAATAAATACTGATATTTGCAGTTGCACTACCGTTAAATATCTTTAAAATCTGTCTATGTATAAATTACTACGTCGTGTTCTAATATTTCAAATATAAAATACATTCTTTCAATGCGAAGGACCTAAGATGAGAAGTACGTACGGTACCCGGCTTAAAGTACGTACGGTACAACCTTTCCTAAAGGTACGAACCGTACCTTTCCTCTTGAGGTACAAAATGGGAAACGTTTTAATTTTGTATTTTATCTATTCAACTTCAAGTTGCTGAATTAGGCAAAATATTGTGAAAGTCGACACAGCAGCAAAGGAATATGGGTGACGAACGTATAATACTGCATAAAACTAATAGCTTATTTCGTAATCTCGTGATTAAGCAAATGCTGTAGACTGCCATGCCAGCGTCATGGCAGTTAAATATTTCAGAACAGAGTAAAAATTTCAGAACAGCAGACAATTTTTAACAAATTTTGCTAAATTGTGGCTTTTGTACCTTCTGGTTCAGTTTAAAGGTACTTGCCGTACAGCCATTTTTAAAGGTACGTACCGCACGTACTTCTCTTCTTAGTCAGATCCGAAAGTGTTTCACATTATATGGAAATTTTAACTTCCAAAAAATATTTTTTTTAAATGGAGCAAAAGGATCTAGATTGCAGTGCCGGAATTCCAAAATTGTGAGGCCATAAAGCGAAATGTGAAATTTTTTATCACAGCACACAGATTTTATCTGTGAAGATAAAATGGCACGCAAAATCGCAAATGTTCATCCAAGCAACGGTCCATTTAAGTGTAGTTTCTAATAAATAGATTTCAACATGATCGTTATAATTGCAGAGCAGGGACAGGTGTGAGTTGTGACTGGTTGGTGATTGAGAGGAGTAATTATCCCAGTTATCGTCTTCCTAACACTTCTCCTCGTCGCATTGCTTCAAACTGCCTGAAATAACACAAATATTAGTGATGGGAAATTTGATCAAAACATAAGAAAACACTGCCCTGATTCGTTGCTTTTTGTAAGTCTCCCAACACAGCAGGAGAAGTGTTAGGGTGAGGTTGCCACTTGTATTGAATAAAATAGTAATATATTCTTGTGCTGTTTTTATACAGTTAGTTTTCTAGACAAGGAAATTTATTTGTCGACCATTAACAGCTACCTTTTTTACAGTGACCAAGCTTTACCTACTATTATTGCAGCTCCCGGAAATGGAGGCGCAGTGTTTCATTATATAAATACGAGGGTAAACTGCGAGTCTGTGTGGTTCAATAGATAAACTGCAAGGTAATGTGGAAATATGAAGGAGAAAACTTGCTAGCTGTTTGAGTTCATCCGTAGTTTGAGCGATTAACTCTCAGATAGGTTTGATGCACTGATGGACAGAATTGATGTAGATTTAAAAAATATTCATAGGTTTTCGTTAAGGATACAACTGTTTAAACATCATGAATTGTGGTAGGTAAAACCAGTAGAAGGCATGGCACCACTCCAGTCTCCAACCCTAGTAATAGTTAACTAATGATGAGACCATACGGCTTACCCTTCGTCCGTCTGAGCAATCCTACATCTGGTCCCTTTAACAGAGCCCTAGTGAGCCAGGGAGAGGACCTCCTCAACACACCTCTGTATTGTACCCTATCACACTATGTGTTGTAGCTATGAAGACTCAAGATGGGCCCTGTTATTCACGTTTTAACTGCTTCATTTAAACAGTTGACCGCACCCATAGAATAGCAGACCCACAATGCAGGACTATAAACTGGTTCCAGTAACACGTTATTGGTACTGGTAGTGGAGTGAGACCAGTTAGGAGGAGAGCCGTCACCCCACTAGACATATTACCACCTCAGATCCCTTCTCCACAAAGAGTAACGCCTCCCCCAAAATGTGAGTACCCCCCCCCCCACATCTCGGAAATGTCCTCCTCTGATCTGTGCAGGAAGCTGCATTGTTATTCCCCTAAAACATACAATGCTATTTAGAGAGCCCCAGTGACCCTGATAGCGACACACAGCTTTAACACCAGTTGTTTAGTGAGTTTGTTTTGCAGGGTGCACATCGTTTCCATGAGGGGAACTCCTTTTTTGTTGGCAGGAACATATTACTTTGAGAACAGTAGCCATCGTCGTTATTTATTTGTTTACTGCTATAATGTTTAGTCCTACAAGTTAATCTTGAAAGCAAATTATGCACACTCAGTTTTAAATTCTTCTTGAGTTGTAAAATTCTCAGAGGGAAAACAACTCGTAGGTGAACGAGTAAATATTCTAGTAATCTCAAATTGATTTGTTTACTTTCAGCTTTAGATTTTGCTTTAAATACAATGATCATTGTGAGTCAATAACAATGAATAAGATCAAGAAATACCCAAGTTTTGTGGAGTTTTCTTCTTAAATGATGAATAATTAACATAATATATTATATAATAGGATAAAACGTGATACATATGTTGGTGAGAGTGGCGGTTCTTCTTCCTCTGTTATCATACATCCTGAACCCGATAACAACTCAACCTGAGCCAACTCAACCTGCTCCAACCAAACCTGAGCCAACTAAACCTGATCCAACCAAACCTGAGCCAACTCAACCTAATCCAACTCAACCTGCTCCAACCAAACCAGCTCCAACCGATCCTGTTCCAACCAAACCTGAGCCATCCAAACTTGCTCCAACCAAACCTGAGCCAACTCAACCTGCTCCAACCAAACCTGAGCCAACCAAACTTGCTCCAACCAAACCTGAGCCAACTCAACCTGTTCCAACCAAACTTGCTCCAACCAAACCAGCTCCAACCGATCCTGTTCCAACCAAACCTGAGCCAACTCAACCTGCTCCAACCGATCCTGTTCCAACCGAACCTGAGCCAACCAAACTTGCTCCAACCAAACCTGAGCCAACTCAACCTGCTTCAACCAAACCTGATCCAACTGAAAAAGAAAACGAATCTAGTACAGAAAAACCATCTTTCAGTGATTACACATCCGGTTCTGCAACAGCTGCACCAGATCCAACTTCTCCATTAACAACAACTTCTGTTCACAAATGGGCAACAGTTACCAAAGTGCCACGGGATCATACTCAAGGTAAATTTGTAATTATAGTAATGATATGTTTTCGTAATCTCAGTTCATGCAACCAAAATTCGGAATTGCCGAACAGTCTTCTAGGAGTCTAGGCCTATATTTAAGAATAAATTATTTCCTAGTGCAGGAATATAACAATAAGGTAACATATCTTGCATTGACTGATGAATTTCAGAAGACACGACTTGTGAATTCGTACAGTATCACGGTTACATAAAGATACAATGCACAGTTGTAGATAAGGCCACAAACAAGACTAAGACGTTCTTCAAGTGTCCGAATTCTAACGATTACTACTCGGTGGTAAAACGAAGCTGCAAGTACCAACAATTTTCTGAGGCATGCCCTAACGATCCTATGTTTTACCAGGTAAGTTTGCTCAAGATAAGAGTAGATTTATGGGTACCGCGACAATTGACCCCCCGACAATTGACGCGAAATCTAGAGTTTAGTACGACAATTGACCCCCTACGTAATAACACTGGCGTCAATTGTCGCGAAATCTAGAGTTTAGTACGACAATTGACCCCCTATGTAATAACGGGGGTGATGCAACGTCAATTAATGTCAATTAATGTCAATTAATGTCAATTAATGTCAATTAATGTCAATGTCAGTTTTGCAAAATTTTGGAATACTGACATTAATTGACACGATATTTTTCGACCGGAGATTATGTAGTTCTACCATATTTTTAGCACTTTAGAACGTTTATATCATCGATTTATTCACTACTATCACATATAATGGAAATGTGAAAAAATTCAGATCATTAAACAATAAAACTAAAATAATACGGTTTTCCGAAATTTAATTTTCTTAAATGGGCGTGGCCATCCAAGGGCGTGGTTCTCAACATCATCAGAACTTAAAACCCACATTAAACGAAATGCCTTCATGACATTTATATTTGAATAACGAATCTTAAACAGCTAACATTACTCCTTCATACTAAAAAAGCCGATTCTAGATATTTTACCTGAATAAGAAACCAATAAAAAATGGGCGTGGCCGGTGGGGACCGAAGATGGAAGAGTTGGAAGCTGAAATTTTTTTTGGTGGTCTTTGAACCTAAGGATCAACAGATAAGAACATACTCATAATTATTCAAGGACATTTTGTTTTTTTGAACCGGTCTAATATAACTTACTTGAACCGGTCTAATATAACTAATAATCTTTAATATTTATCGAATAATGATAATCTCAAATTTCAAGACAAATTAATTTCAATTAATGTCAATTAATGTCAATTAATGTCACTTAATGTCAATTAATGTCAATTAATGTCAATGTCAGTTTGGGGTTTTTATGGAATACTGACATTAATTGACGATGCATCACCCCCGTAATAACACTGGCGTCAATTGTCGCGAAATCTAGGGCTTAGTGCGACAATTGACCCCCCCCCCATGTAATTACACTGGGGTCAATTGATCGGGTTAGGGTTAGGGTTAGGGTTAGAGTTAGAGTTAGGGTGAGGGTTCCGGTTAGGGCTCCGGTTAGGGTTAGGGTTCCGGTAAAGGTTAAATTAGGGTTAGGGTTAGGGTTCCGGTTAGGGTTTGGCCTAGGGTTAGGGTTCCGGTTAGGGCTCCGGTTAGGGTTAAGGTTAGGGTTCCGGTAAGGGTTAAATTAGGGTTAGGGTTAGGGTTTCGGTTAGGGTTAGGGTTAATTGTATTAAATTATATTTTTGGGGGGTCAATTGTCGGGGGGTCAATATTCGGGGGGTCAATTGTCGGGGGGTTAATTGTCGGGTGTCAATTGTCTGGGGTCAATTGTAAGGGGGTCAATTGTCGGGGGGTCAATTGTCGGTGGGTCAATTGTCGCCCACCCGATTTATGGACTAGATTTTAAGCTTTTGTCACATAACTCACATTCACTCACACAGTTAGAGTTGCTATTTGGTAAGAGACCGATTTTGTAAATATACATACTACATCCTAATAAATGTATAACCTTAAACTGAAAACTAATCGTGCTCTACAGATGTGCGGGGCAGTGAGGCTTTGTAAAGACACAGGAAAAGGAGGATTTACAGCGATAGAGGAGATGCATTACCACGACAACTACATGTGTGCCTATGCAGCATGTGACAACGGATACTACACCGCCGGAACAACTGACATTTGTCAAGACGGACAAAGATGTAAGAATGCGGACTACAACGATAACACGTGCTCCGAACACACCACTTCAGATTCATACACGTGCAGAAATAACTGGATATCCTCCACTGCCATACCTTCCAATCAGCTCTGTGATGGAAACTGCGATTGTCCCGGTATCTGTGATGACGAGGCAGTGTGCAACGGTCTTACCTACGGTATGTTCTGTCCTAGTAACGTGAAAGTGAATTACACCACTTACGTACCACCGTTCTGGATATGTGATGGATATGACGACTGTGCTGGCGGGGTGGATGAGGAGAACTGTAAGGTGAGGCCACAATGTAAGCTTTCGTATACTTATGGTCGTAGGGACAGGGGACCTCTTACAAACCGAACCCGATGTGCACCACTTAGAAGCGACATATTTCCGTACTGTGCTGATTATTCCGATCAACTAAACTGTATTGATTCTACTATAGCAAACCTAACTTGTTTGAGAGGGGGCGACCTTGTTTCTGTTGCTGATAGAATGATATGTCATGACATTTCTGGTCTCCGACTATGTGATGACGGATTTGAGAATATGTGCGAAGAAATCGGTATAACTTGTAAGGTCCACAAACACCAACTTTGTGACGAAGCAAAGGATTGTATTAACGGAGCAGACGAGTTGCATGTCAGTTGCCGTACTTGGAGCAAATCTGTATGTAAGAGAGCATTTGGTATGAAGAACAGATTATTGAAAGTACCTT